GCTCCCGTGGGATCGAAGATGAGATTACCAACCCTTGTAGCAATAGCTCGAGGTGCTTTTGCCAATCTCCGCCACCTGTGGCGCAGACGTGACATTACCATCGCCCTAAAGGGAAGATTTTATAACGCAGCCGTCTGTTCAACTCTTCTATATGGTTGTGAAACCTGGCCCTTGAAGTTGACAGACATAAAGTAGCTCGTCACATTCGATCATCGCTGCCTTCTCGACTTAGCTTATGTCCGGTGTGAGCACCGCGTGTTCGGCGTCGCGTATTTGGTGCAGGAAGAGCGAGCGAATCGCTCAGCACCATTATATCGCACACCATGCTCCGATGGTTGGGCCACGTGTTACGCATGCCAGCGCACCGACTTCCGCAACGTGCATTGTTTGCGCGCCTGGGGTGCAGTTGGAAGAGAAGGATGGGAGTCCAAGTGATGATTTGGTCAAGAAAGATGAAATCCCTCACTTTGAGGTTAGCGTCGGTTGGTGCATCCCGGCTGCCTGGCTGGTTTCCTATGGACGAGATACACGTTTGGTTGGACACTTGCTTAGAGCCGGCCCCACTGGGTTTGTGTTGTGAGTTCCTTTGTCCACCCCCTCCTGCTTAGCCTCCCTCTCCAATCACGATCGCCTTCATTAGGTATAATATAATTTTTCGCGGCGTTTTAGCCGGCTGTTAGCTCTCCGGAACGATGTCTATCCGTTACTGGGTACTCAGCCGGCGTGCCACTGTATTTTTCTTCTTGTCCTTTGTATTGCGGCACAATAGCTGACGTGTTTTCCACCTGCAGCTAACGTGTATAATAATGATGATGATTTTGAGTGTTCCGCCCAATAACCTATACGACGCTCCTTATTGTATATCAGTGCACCCGCGCTGTCTCTGATTGTTTCGCTGATGTCTTGTTTCCTGGGACCAGTGGTGCGGGTCGGCTGAAAGAGCTTGTGCTAATTGCCTACAGCTCCTACTTCTTCCAATTCTTAAGCCAGTCTAGTTCACCAAGCTTCCTTGTGAACTGGCAGGCCTCGCTTTACTTCGCGCCTAATAGTCCGTCTGGTCACATTGTACCCAGCGTTTTCTTCTGGATTCCACTAGGTTCGCCCGGCTGTCGAATATCCGATGACTAGTGCTGTGCGATCGATAGTGCCAAAAGTTATACCCCTGCGTCTTGCATGGCGGCCGAGATCCTATTTCATTGAAGCTCAGTTCATTAGGACAAGACAGCGAAAGTTCGGTACGCTGTGCATGCTGGTAGGCTTGCTTAACCGAAAGCTGCGATAAGTTCTGAGTTGCTAATTATGGGAGACCCTTGGTGCGCCTTCCGGTAAAGTTCATGGAGAAACGACAGCGTACCAAGGCATCATCAGAATCGATGCGAGTATTCCAGAACGAACAACAGTCCAGGATGGAACCACGCTATCTATTAGTTATGGCAATGTGATCAGTTTAGGTCCATCTCTGGCCAGCTACAAGAAGACCCCAAGTGGCACTTCGGCTCTCACTGTGTCTGAAAGCGGTGCTACTAAGAAACAGCTGATGTTCTGCACGCTGATTTAATAGAAGCTCGCCGTTGCCCTTATTGTCGAAGTCCACACTTATCACCTAGCAGAGCTTATTAAGAGATCAGACGATCTGCTTACGCGTTCCTATCCCCTATAAGAACTATGATATCTAAACTGGTAACACTGCGTTGTGGCGTCTTTAATTCATGGTAGTATGTGTTCTTAATAGCAGTCGGTGGAACCATAAGCGGAACCCACAAGCAAACAACGTCATGTACTACTTCGTAAATCGACATTAGTTGATGTCGTCAATCTGGCTGCACACAAACGGCTGTCCACCGGAATCCAATCAACAAACGAACACATCCTTGGAGCTAGGAACTATACTTACCCAAGCTTGAACAGAGACTGTTGAAGCAACTTCTCCGGATGCATGCAACTACTAGCGAACAGACAAGCCGGGTGCAGTTGATGCAACAACGCGTGAGCGAAATTGATTCTAGTTTCGGATACGCAGCACCTAGCTCGTCCGAAATGCGTGCGATGCAGCCGTTTGCCATATTTGCCTTAGATTGCAAACCTTGAACACATCCAAGGCAGCGTGGCTTTATATGGGGTTGTTGGCGATTGTCGTCCAGTGGGTGGTGTTGGAAGATAGCTGCAACGGTACAACTACAGATGTTCGTGAAATACGCCCATAGAGATAGCAACACGCAGCTGAGCGAAGAACTTTCTTTTTGATATTTCTCATGGCTAACACACATATATAAAAGTGCTTAAAATCGTGATAGGCTGAAATGACAAGTCTAGGGTTAGTCAATTCCAAACAGGCTGCTTTGCAATCGATTACAAGAGCTAAACTCACACGTATACACACATGTTCACAATACAACACACCACGGTTCAGCTGACTGATGGGGTACATAGATGATACCTTTATCATCCGTGATTCAAACGCCGACGTTGCTCATTTACTAGATCAGTTCAGTAGCGCGCACCCCAGTTTGAAGTTTACAAGCGAACTTGAAAACGAAGGAAAGATAGCATTTCTGGATATATCACTAAGCAGACGGGAGAATGGCACACTCCAAAGTAGTGTCTACCGAAAGCCGACCTGGATAGGCCAGTACACACATTTTCGTAGCTTTGTACCGTTAAAGTATAAACGAAACTTAGTGCTTTGCCTGCTTTATCGCACCAGCAAAATCTGTAGCCCCGAAACTTTAGAAACCGAAAAGCATTTTATCCTTAGGACACTACAAGATAACGGTTATCCTGTTCCATTTATTCGGAGACACGCTGTGATCCGTGACCAAAGACAAACTATCGTGACTGTGCCAAAAAGGTTGTTTATCTTGCGGTCCCTTTTAAAGGAGATGTTCCCTTTGAGTTACTGAACAGAAGACTCCAAAATGCAGTTTCCTGCTGCCTATCCGAACATTATTGCTGAAACTGCCCCGTTTAAAACCCAGCGTCTTAAGGATCGACTCCCAGGTCCAGTCCGAATATTCTATCCTATATCCACTTACTTGCACCTGTGTGTAAGATACCTCGGACACACTACCAGTTGCTTGGCGATTTGGATAGCAGAACATTGCCCAGCAGCGTTATGGAAGCACGCAGTCAAAGGGGCCAACAGTGTTGTTTTGGAACATTTAGTCCAGAGCGGGCACCAAGTCGTGGTGACAGAGACTTTTAAAAGTTTATATGTTATGCCGAAACACTATCCAAAAGGAGTTAAAAGGCGCCTATTTCGATTCAGCTGATGCAAGCAGAGGATGCTAGTTCAAAAGCTCCATTTACCCTGACCATAATTATACTGTGACTCGCCGTTCTCATCGACCTCCGAAATTGACCTTTTCACCCCATCGGACAGCTGTACCGTGGTATGTTGTATTGTGAACATGTGTGTATACGTGTGAGTTTAGCTCTTATAATCGATTGCAAAGGATCGATTATGAAAGCAGCCTGTTTGGACTTGACCAACCCTAGACTTGCCATTTTAGCCCACCACGATTTCAACCAATTATATATATTTATTAGCCTGCTGAGAAATATCGAAAAGATATTTCTTCCCTGAGCTGTATGTACTTACTGATGTGTTTGAATGCTGTCAATAAAAGTGGAAACTATAGCAGGAAGGCTAGTAATGGAGACTGGGTGAGAAGTGAGGGTAACAGTGAAAAGGAAAGAATGGAGGCACCAGCAGTAGCATGTTTTCGCTTATCTGACCTGTATGCAGCAGATAAGGCGACCCTTGGTAATCTGTGCAACAGCCACTGCAGGATATGGCTGAACTTTGAAAAAGCAAACATGGTTTTGCGTGTGTTTAGATACTGCCAGGGCGCTCAGACTTAGACGGGAGAACGATTGTGGTCCTCCACCCAAGCCGTTGGCTCAAAAGCGTGTCCGAGAGGCAGCGGGAAGGTGGCAACAATTCGATTTTACAGAAATGGACGCCATCCCACTTCAAGCACCCAACCTGGAGGATCAGGAGATTTAGTTGTCCGACCTCTAACCATTGACCAACCTGGTATCAGAGGATCTCAAGGGCCCCACGCCGTATACATCAATGGGTCGACGAGGTACCCAAACCGCCGCACCACGTTAGCGTGCTGTCTCGTTGTGAGGGACCCGAGCTACAAATATTTCGTCCGACTTCTAGCTCTTCGTGGATCTTGAACCAGGATACGTGAGATTAAGTTCTACTGTGTCAGGCCCCATCACTTCCACCTACTATCAATAGTAAGAACACGAATGAGTGGGAACAGAATTCAGGATTTTTCACGCATGGAAACGACGACATAATGCGTAACTGTAGAAGCCAACTAAAGCACTGAAAGTGCTCGATCAGACAAAGCCAATAAGGGTTTAACTGATAAAGAACCAATCTGGCATAACCGTGATCAGCACCCTGAAACATCAACCTAAACCACCGATGGGGCTAACGAAGTGTCACTGAATGGGTGCAACATAACGTTACTATGCAGTTGTGAGCGTTTACATACGTATCAAAACAAACAACAACAGTGCATCAGCCGTTTGAACTGATGCTTCGTTGCCATACAGGCACGATGATCTATGAAATAAAGAATAATATGAGGGAGAGAAGGGGTCTTACCTGAAAACCTTAATGCCCTAAGCAAACATTCAGGGTCAAGGCGCCTGCACCTTGTGTTGACAACCAGTAAAGCGCATGACTGGTTGTGCTATGGAATTGGCTTTGTTTGGGACCGGCAACTACGGCGTGTCTGAAGCGTCATTTGAGCTTTCCCTGTGCCACGCGGTCGTATGTTGCAGACTGGTAGGGGCATGGTTTTCTCTGCTTCAACACACTTTTATACTAACTTTGCCAGAGGTGGAGTACGGATGGCAGTAGCGACATCGGGGGGACGGGTGGGAGCCGGGGGTGAAGAGGGAAGGGTTTGGCGGGCTGAATTGCTCTAGGAGTGGTCGGGGTTCGACTGAGGGTTGTAGTGTAGTTTATGTTCTGATAGATGGGGGGGGAGGATGGGGGGGGGGGGGGGGGGGGAGGGGGGGGGGGGGGGGGGGGGGGGGGGGGGGGGGGGGGGGGGAGGGGGGGGGGGGGGGGGGGGGGGGGAGGAGGGGGGGGGGAGGGGGGGGGGGGGGGGGGGGGGGAGGGAGGGGGGGGGGGGGGGGGGGGGGGGGGGGGGGGGGGGGGGGGGGGGGGGGGGGGGGGGGGGGGGGGGGGAGGGGGGGGGGGGGAGGGGGGGGGGGGGGGGGGGGGAGGGGGGGGGGGGGGGGGGGGGGAGGGGGGGGGGGGGGGGGGGGGGGGGGGGGGGGAGGGGGGGGGGAGGGGGGGGGGGGGGGGGGGGGGGGGGGGAGAGGGGGGGGGGGGGGGGGGGGGGGGGGGGGGGGGGGGGGGGGGGAGGGGGGGGGGGGGGGGGGGGGGGGGGGGGGTGGGGGGGGGGGGGGGGGGGGGGGGGGGGGGGGGGGGGGGGGGGGGGGGGGGGGGGGGGGGAGGAGGGGGGGGGGGGGGAGGGGGGGGGGGGGGGGGGGGGGGGGGGGGGGGGGGGGAGGGGGGGGGGGGGGGGGGGGGGGGGGGGGGGGGGGGGGGGGGGGGGGGGGGGGGGGAGGGGGGGGGGGGGGGGGGGAGGGGGGGGGGGGGGGGGGGGGGGGGGGAGGGGGGGGGGGGGGGGGGGGGGGGGGGGGGGGGGGGGGGGGGGGGTAGTAGGT